CTCTGGATATGTTAAGGTTAAGTCAAGGTTCCTCATATTGACCCCTCAATAGAGCTGCACTCTTGTATCCACAGTACTTCTTAAATGGCACAGATCACAAACCATTCCTGCCATAACCTTTCCAAAGGCTGCTGTGGTTTAAAAAAAAAAAAAAAAGCCACCCCCTAGCATTTCCACACTAGGCCAAGCTGACTCTCATCTAGCAAACAGCCTGGAGTCAGCACTATATTCAAAGCTTTTCCAGTGCAGTAGAACCTGCTGGCACTTGTGTTCCACTGACCTTTGGGTTCACAAATGTTACTTATTAAAAAACCCTCAAACTTGGAAGGCAACTGGGGAGTTCATGGAGCACTGACAAAAGTGACATAATTCATTTGAGAGGAAGTTGTAGGACTCGAGATTTAGGAGGGCAGGTGAAGATGGGTGAGGAGGGGACAGGTAGAAGACACCTGTGGATGGCTACGCTCTCAACACTCATGATTCTAGAATGGTCCCAGTCGAGGAGCCCGAAGCAACCTTTCCCCACACACAATGCTGCATAAATCAAAGATCTCCTGAAAATCTTCTAGGCTTCTGGCCTCACAAATCCTAAAAAATGAAATCAAATCTGACTGTTGCAGCAGCTGAGGTTAATCTAAATTGTGCATTCAGACAGCCAAAAATAATTAACTTCAGAGGTTAAGGTGGCTTTTTCAGAAGGAATTTCCGACCCATATGATTTTTGGGGAGGGAAAATTAAACATCTTTGTGAACTCTGCATACCACGGACAATCATGAAGTCTCCACTCAACATAGACACGTGGCACCCTCTAGGGGCCAGAAGTTGTCAGCGCCCAATAGCTTTCAGTAGGACATTGTGCCCAAAAAAAAGAAAATGGGAGGGGAACATTGAAGAAACATTAACCACCAATAAACAAAGAGGTGATGATGGGGGACGTAGGCAAGTTTCCTTCCTGCTATAGGACCAGAGAATCACAGGATCGAAAAGGAGACCTTTAGTTCAACCCATACCTGAATAAAAATCCCCCTATGCCATACCCAACAGGATGTCATCCAGCCCTTATGGGCATCCCTCCAGTGAGGCCAGCCATTCCACCTTGAGACAGCTCTTCTATTGAAGGAAATTTTTTCCTGTCATCAATCCGCACTTGTCGTCTTTGCAGCTTCCACCCATTACCTCTACCCCTGTAGTCTGGGACCAAGCAGAACCATTCTGATGCCTCTTTCTCAGCCAATGATCACGTCCCCTCTCACTGTGTCTTCATGTTGTTTTTCAACCGATGCCCAGGTGGCATGAACTCTGGTCCCTTCACTATGCTGGTAGTCTTTTGGTCATGTGCTCCCTAAACTCTGGGGCCCTGAATCGAACACAGGACTCCTGATGGTCACATCCACATCATCACCTCCCTAGTCCCAGCCTCCTCTTGTATTGAAGCCCAATTGCATTAACTTCTGGGGTTGTCACTTTACACTACAAACACACTTAGCCAGTGTGTCACCTGGTTGCTCTGAATCTAAGGCTGCCTTTGAACCTACTCAATTTTACTTTATTACATTCAGTCTGACCTTTTAGCTCAAAGGTAAATCCATGGTAGGGCCCATGAAACTCCCAAGTGTGGTCCAAACCAGATTAAAATATAATTGGGAAATGTTTAACAAAACAAACAAAAACACAACGTAGATGTTAGTTTGAGGTTTTCCAAGTCAATATACTGCCCAGAGGGATCCGTTTCTATTTGAGTTTGACACCACCTTTCCTAGCCTGCAGCCTTTTAAATCCAGTATGTCACTCAGTACATTAAGTTAGGTCTCCCTCCCAGCTCTGGGTCATCTGCACATTTGCCAAGCCCACCACCTATGTCTTTATCCAAGTCACTGAGAAGTGCTCAACAGCACAGGTGCCTGAGACTCCATTAGAGATCACACCCCAAGTGGACATGGAACCATTAACAGCTATGCTTTGGGTCTTACCACTCCTTTAACTGTACCACTGTCTAGCCCAGGGCTTTTTTTTAAACTTTTTCCACTTGGTAGCGACCCCTTTTCGAGTTTCCCCGCAGCCTTGGTTGGCACTGTGTGGCCCGAGGGCATGCTCGGTGCAAAGTGTGCATGCTTTGTGTTCAGAACCAAGACTGCAGTGATGCAACATGGAGCACGCGCTGCCAGAAACACCTTGGATTCCTTACGTGTTTGATTTCGAATCAGAAACCTTTTAATGTTGCCAAAATTTTCTCAACCCCATACGGGGTCGAGATCCAGAGTTTTAAGAAGTGCTGCTTGACAGCACTCAATCCTTTGCAACATTTTTATGGTGGCCAGGAGGTGCTATGGTGTTAGATTTGGAGTCAAGAAGGGCTGAATTCCAATCTTGCCTCAGCCTCATATTCCTCATTTGTAAAATGGCTATAATAGCACCTACCTCACAGGATTATTTTGAGGACGAAACGAGATATTATAGGGATAGTACTTTGCAAACCTTAAAGTGTTATATAAATGCTATCATCGTGATTAACCACAAGAATAACATAAGACTGTGTCAACTACTTTGCTAAAATCTAATTAAAATATAGGGCAGTTAGGTGGTGCAGTGGATAGAGCGCCAGGCCTGGACTCAGGAAGACCTGAGTTCAAATCCAGCCTCAGACACTTACCAGCTGCGTGACTCTGGTCAAGTCACTTCATCCTGTTTGCCTCAGTTTCCTCATCTGTAAAATGAGCTGGTGAAGGAAATGGCAAACCACTTCAGTATCTTTGCCAAGAAAACCCCAAATGGGGTCACAAAGAGTCAGACATGACTAAGTTAAAATACATAGACTGAAAGACACCATGGCATATTTGGAATGAGGTAGTCCTAAGTTAAAATCTGTCCTTATATCCTGTGATCCCGAACCTCCAAGACCCAGTTTCCTCAGTGAAGAAAATCACACCTGTCTTTCAGAAGGTTGTTCTAAGGATCAAATAAGAGAAATATATATTGCTTTTTCAAACTGTAAAGGCCTAGGGATTATGAGCCACTATTACATATATCCTTTCCAAAATATAAAGTTAGCACGGCATGATATGTGCCTCATGAAGCCATCCTGGGTCTCTGTGACCACCATTTCTCCTTCCAGATGTTTATAAACCAACCATAAATGGAAACCAGGCTCACTGGCTGCTAATTTATAGAATTCATCCACTTCTTCTGGTACTTGCGACCTCTGTCCTTCCCCAGCCCTTTGGCAACTGTCTAGTTCTACACGGCCTGTGGGGGCTCAGTCTTGGGCTCAGCAAGGGCAGGTGAGTGCTTTCTTACCATCATCTTATTCATTTTAGACATCACTCATTCATTACTAGTGATTTTTGTTCTGTCTTTTCATATCCAAAGATCATTCTCCTTGGCAAAAAGAAACAAAGACATGAAGAGTCATCCTTAATCATCATTCCATCCACTTGGAACATTACTCTTATCCCTTCTTTGATTCTCTTTTCCCCAGTGTTGTTTTTTTTTTTTTTTTAAGGCCATTTTGGTTATTTCTACTTACCTGTCCTTGTCTTTTACAAATCTAAGCTGGTTAGTTTCCCTATGCATTTGGCATTTAGTTTCTTTAGACAACTATCCCTTTTCCTTCTCGCTAGTATTGTCTTCACAATTTTATTTCTGAAAGTTTCCCATCCCACCTGGGCTGTCTTCTTCTATGGGTCAATGAGATTCCCCTTATCCTTTTCTCTAAACTCTCTGAAATGTGCTCATTGAACTAAATTGCTTTCTTAGAATCTCAGGTGCATTAGCACTAGGCTGGCTTTCCTCTTCTCTATCACACATTCCAAGATGGAATAGCCACTTCCCAAATTTCCCATCATTCCCACCCTAGTAACCAATTCCTCCTTGTTGATAAGATTTGAGCCCAGAAAGTAGTTTTCCTTGTTGGTTCCTGCAACTTTTGAAAGATGAAATTCTAATTAATGAAAAAAACTGATGATGTAGTCAAAACACAGTGCAGTTGAAAGAGCCCGGGATTTAGTCGGAGGCCTTGGGCTCACATCCCAGCTCTACCATTTACTATGTGTGCGGCTCTCATGAGTCACTTTAACCTCTCTGTGCCGCAGTTTCCTTATATGTAAAATGACAGGTTTGAACTAGATCACTTCTAAGGTCCTGCTCAACTGTACATCTGTCTAAAACTTATAATCCAAAGTGGAAAAGGGCAAATTCCTGAGCAATAAGAGTTGTTCTCTACTTGGAATTATAACACTTTTGAGTTCTGAAGCAACTCAAGAGATTATTTAGTCCAATCCTCTCTCCCAGAGAGGATGAGTGTGACTTGCCCAAGGTCACACAGTTGGACCCTAAGTCGCTTGACTTGGTCTTGCAATGGATAGAGAGCTGGATTCCGAGCCACAGTATTAGACATTTAGAATTAGAACCTTGGTCTAACTACCCTTATTTTTACACATCAGGAAACTGAGGCAGAGGTAAACTGACTTGCCTGGGATCATACACCTAGTGTCTGAAACAGGATTTGAACCCAGAGCTTCCTGAGTCCAAGTCCAGTGCCATCTGTATCCATTATATCATGTTGCCTCTCAGGAAATCTGGAAGAGCTATCGAATATCACCTCTAACACTTGTTTATTGCAAGTCACTGCCCTTTTCTGAGTTTATTTTTCCATCTGTAAAATGAAGATAAAATCTGTAAGCTCTACCTCACAGGGCTGCTGAGAGGCTTAAATGAGATAAGGTATACAAAATACTTTTCAGATTTTCAAGTGTGATCTAAATGTCAAATATTGTTATTTCCACTACCTCAATCTGCTTAGACTTACTCAACAGTCTAAAAAAAGCAAGTGATACTAATGTTCTTGTTTAGGAATTACTGAGACCAACTACAGGAAAGAAGTAACCAAGAAAGGAGATGTAGCGCTTCCAATACTGCTAAAAAGTACAGTACATCCCTCATGCAAACCACCAAATACCCTTTTTCTATGTAGGGAAGCGTAAAGAGTGACAGACCATAGGACTCAGACAGAGACAGCATAATTCATTTTTATGTTCATTTCCAAGAATGATAGTGATATGTGGGAGAGGGGAAGGGAATGTCTCAAATGACTCTAAGTGACAGAGTCCACCCAGCAAAAGCAGAATTCCACAGGGATTTGTACTTCTCCAGTTTCCCCTCTTATTCAGCAAGCAGTGGAAGGGAACGTGGGGCTCATTCTAAGCTATCTCCAGGTTCTGCTTGGCTCCTGAATTGTTAAACACACAAGAGAGATGGCTGCGGTAGCTGGATCACTGCTAACACAAAAACATTTTTTTAAAAAATTTTACTTGATATGACCTTTCTCAATTTTAGGAAATGCTCGATATGGTTAGAAAGGGCTCAAGTTTTAGTTCTTTGCACCAGGAGTCTTGAAGATGGGTGGTCTAACAGCCAGGGCAGTGGATGGATCTCAGCCAATCTCAACAGGCTTGTTATCTCCGCAGAGAAGGTTTATGGTAAATGCAGCTGTGCGCTAACAGAGAATGATTTGTGGGCAATATCAAATTCAAACATGATCATCAGAAATTCAGAATCATCAAAAGAGACACAACCAAAACAGTTTGAAAAACCTAATAGTAATGATTCCAGGAATGATCCAAGCATAGGAAAAATGTTCAGCAGTTGAAGGCTTAATTCTGGAGTACCGGAGAAAAGGATGTGGCTTCTTTTGGTCACTTGGGAAGAGTCCACATGAGGTTACTTATAGTTTGTGCTGTCCTACAAAAGCATTTCCCTAAGAAAAAATCCCCAGGACCAGAAGGATTTACAAAGGGAATTGGTCCACTGGCCTTGGGTGACTTATATTTCAAAGAATAATTCTCATCAACCAAAAGTCAGTATCCGACAAATGATTCCTCCACATCACGAGAAAGCTGAACTCAAAACAGCTAAAACATAAGCAAAAGACGTCAAAAACAAAATTCAAGTCCTCAACTAAAAATATGTATATGAGAGAAGATTTAGCTCAGCTTTCTTGGTAATGGAAAGGTGAGATCCTTTAGGGTTCACCAATTATAAGGGACTGTTCCTTGTACCTCAGTCTGAGATAAATGGATCTCTATGAAAACTCAATCTCCAACTCAGAAGAAACACATGGTGATGTGCTGAGGTTTGTTATTAAAAGTCTGTGTTTCCCAAACTATGTTCTGTGGGACCCAGGCATTCCAAATCAGGTGAATAAGGATTTCATGAGAGAATTGATGCTAGTGATAGCATCTCTAAAACATTAAATATGAAACGGTACATTATTAAAATGCTAATTATGAATAGCAATTTTCCATTATGAAAACAGATTTAATGTCTTCTGTTTTACTCCAAAATTTCTCCAACTTCCTTTATCCTAGGGGTTCCCTGGACAGGAATTTAAAGGTTCAATCAAAACACTTTTTAGCCAAAATAGTTCTGTGGCTAAACTGATTTGGGAAACCCTGGTTTAGAAAGAATAAGAAGTTGGGTTTCAATCAAACGCACATCTTGACTAGCCAGGGAGGCTAGCTAGAGAAGAATCTGGGTTAAAATAAAGATGACAGAGAGTGCAGTCTGTGTACTGGTCGTACCTTACATTAAAAAATAAAACTAGAGGTAAAAACTGGTGGCTACTTGTGAGACTAAGGGGCTCTTATTAATAACTATGACTCAATAAACTCTCACTCTGCTTCCCCCACCCCTCATTCTGCAGAAAGTTCTCCATCTGGCTCTCAAGAGCAAATAACAATCGTTCCCCTCGCACATTGAGGGGATCAGCGCATAGTGTGTCCAGGAGAAGGCAACCAATGCAGTTCCAAGGCAGGTAAAGGCTAATATGGCTATAGCATCAAGTCTCTGAGACGAAGATATCTGCGGTGCCACAGACGAAACAATGAAGCGTCAGGTGGCTTTGCTGACAAAATTCTTCTGCCTCCTGGCAAAAGTAAGTGGTTTAAGGACAAAGTGGGCTTTTCCATTCACTGAGAATCATAGATTTTTAAGAGCTGGAAGCAAAATTAGAATCATAAAATTATGGAATCTTAGAGAAGGAGGAGACCTTAAAGGTCATCTAATCCAACCCTCTTCATTTTACAGATGAAGAAACTGAGGCCTAGAGAGATAAAATGACTTGCCCAAGGTCACACAGCTTGCAAGCAGCAGAGACATGATACAGACTACATCTGATGACTAGTTAGTGCTCTTTCCACTTTAGCAGGCTGCCCTCTAGAAATCAATTCTAAAAAACAAAACAAAAATAATCTTCAACTATATGAAGCATCTTAAAAATGATTACTGTAATGTCACAGTACTTAAGAAAAGGTATAAGGAATTTTCATGGGGATGTTCTTGTTTAAAAAAATAGAGATTTTATGTGTGTATCAGAGTCTCTGGTTTCTAGATGGCATCTTCTTGGGTGCAGAAAGGTGGGTTTCAGCAGTCCTGAGAGGTGGCCCCACTTTCAGTGGCACATTCGGGAGGTCATTTCCTTCTGTCAAAAACAAGCCCCCCCAACCCAAACAACACAGTAAATTACAGAAATCAGAAAAACTGTAAGAGGTGAGACCCAGATCACAATTCTACTGTAGGTGCCAGTTGTGAATTTATTTTTAGTCTCCTGAACAACAAAAGGCACTAGAGTAACAACCAGCCAGTAAATTATTCCAGCATTTCACAGAGGCGCAAAAAGCACTTTGTGAGTATCGTGGTTCTCTGTTACTTAGAGTGGAGGGGAGGAGATTGGTAACTATTTTGAACTTTCCATCCTATGATCCTACCCTAGATCATTTTCCTTTTCATCGCTTTCATCTGGATACAAAGACCCAAAGGAAAGAAGAAAGCTTAACGGGAGCTCTCTTTCACCCAGGATACACAGGCCAGGTAAGCCCTGGCTCACTTAATTCTTGGCTCTGGCCATGGCTGGTAACCTTAGGCAGGTAACTTCACCTGACATACAGTGCACTGCAAAGGGTGCTCCATCCGGAGCCAGAGGTCTGGGTTCAAGCCCCTGCTCTGTCTCTTGCTACCTGAATGACCTAAGCAGGGCACTCGACTTTCCTGGACCTCAATTTCTTCACTACAGAATGAGGAAGTCAGACTAGATGAGCCAAAGGTCCCTTTCAATCGTTTACTCTATGATCATACTCTGTCCAATAGCTACTCTGTCCTGTAAACCTGCCCAAAGGACCAAATAGCGATCCTTCTCCCTTGTCTGATGGATTCTTCACATGCAATTTTGCATGACAGCAATTGGTGCTCATGTCTTATCTCCCCGACTAGACTGCAGTAAGCTCCTTCAAGATGGTAAGCCACACTTGCTTCTCTTTCTCTCTCTCTCAGTTCCACATGCAGTGTCATAAATGCCTGATGAACGAATGAGGACCCATACTGGATTTCCTGGCGTTCTATCTTCAAAGAGCTTTTGCCCATTTCCATTCGTACTACCACAGTCCTGGCTCCATTATCCCCTATTAGATTAAGTAAGTTTCGTAACTGCTCTCTCTGCCTCTAGTTTCTTCCCTTTCCAAACTACCCTTCATACCAATAAAGAGGTCATCTAATTATCACCCTCTCCCACTTTTACACAGTTCTGTTCCTATGCCTAGAACAGAATTTCACCTATACCTCTACTTTCCCTTCCTTCAAGTCCTTCCTGACCCTCCTGCCCATGCCAGCTATGACTGATATCTTCTCTGCTCATGAGCCTCTTCTCTCATTATACACATCTTCTCCATCTATTATGGAAAAGCTGGGACATTCGTTCTTCATAAGTCTTCATTTATGTATCCCTAGTGCCTAGGATAGAGTCTTGCACACAAGCATGCACTTAGCGTTGGCTGAATTTCAGAAATGATTGCTGACTGGTAAGTAGTGAGGAGGAGGTGCTATTCAGCACTGCCACTATTCATGGGCAACAGGAAGCAACTACTTGTATGCCACCAAAAAAAAATTGGTGCTACATTCTAGGCTGAACACTGGCAAGCTGGAATGCATCCAGAGAAGGGTGATAGGCTGGTCCTTAAGGCGATAAGACTCCCAAGTCACAGAAGTCTGACAGACACAACTGGGGATGTTTAGTCTGGAGAAGAAAAGGCTTAGGGATAACACGGTTACTGTTTGTAAATACAGGAAAGGCTGTCATGTGGCAGAAAGATTTGACTTGATTTGTTTGGCTCCAGTGAGGAGTGCAACTACTGGATTTTGGCTGAATATAAAGAGAACTTCCTAACAATTAGAGCTGTCCAGAAGCGTAATTAGCTGGCTCAGAAGCTAAACGAGTTCTCCACCTTTGGAAGTCTTTAAGCAAAGGCTGAACAGCCACTTGTCCGAAATGTTGTAGAAGGGATTCCTTTTAGGTACTAGTGAAAGAGCCAACCTCTGAGGTTCCCTCCTAGTTGAGACTCTATGATAATATGAACCTTCTGAGCATCAGGGAGCAAATGGACAAAGCAGAGCAGAACCTCTCCAGGGAAGAGGACCTGCCTGTTCCCCTCTCACATCATGATCCTCCTTCACACTTGCTGCTTGCACAGCCTTACCACTCACTCAACTTCTCAACTTCCTGCAGCCCAGCTTCCATCCTCCTTAATGTACTGGGCTGCCTTGGGCAAAGTCACCAGGCCTCCCAGCCGTCACACCCAGGTGCCTTATTTTAATTCTTCTACCCTTAATATTTCTAACATTTGACCTTTTGCATGTGTATCCTCAGCATCCTGAACAGTTTCGAGCACACAGGAGACATTTACATGACTAACTGACCACTCCTCCTCCTTTCTCAATACTTTCTCCTCCCTTTTTTCCTGGGACACTACTCTTGCCTCTCCTTGTACTTCTCTGATCATTCCTGGGTTCCACTGCTTTTTCCTTTTCCTCTTTGAACCCCTTCCACGTGCCCTACAGAGCAAGCCTCAGACGTCTCACACTGCAGTCTCTGGGTATTCTCATTCCTTAGGCACAGATCTATCAAGAGCACAGATCTACCACCCAAATTCCCTCTAAGCCGCAGGTCCAAAGTTCCAGCTGCACAGCAGACCTTTCCAACCAGACATCACTGCTGCGCCTCAAAATCAACAAGCTTGATACTCAAGATTCTCTTTCTCTCTAAAACCAGCCCCTTTTCCTAACTTTCTTATTTTTGTTTTCTCCCAGTTATGAGACTTGAAATCTCACAGTTATCTTTGACTTCTCCTTTTTTCTCACCTTTTACAAACATTTAGATGTTAGATTCTATGAAATCTACTGGGGCAGTATCTTCCTATTGCCACACTGCCACCACCTAGTTCAGGACCTTACTGGCCTCCTGTCTCTAACCTATGATATCACTTATACACTTAACCATCAGCTAACTTGATTTATATTTATTTATATATCTGCCCATCTCTCTTCTACTCCCTCCAATAGAGTATAAGAACCTTGAAGACAAGAACTGTCTTTTTCACCCCTGTATTCCCAAAACCTAGTACAATGCCCTGAAAATAGTAGATGTTTAAGGTTTGTTCAATTGAATGGGCATAGTTTTTTGTTTTTTAATAAAAAATGTTCTGAGGATGAGGACAATCTCTGTATCAGATGTGAATGTGAACTTCTGAGAGAGCTGTGGCCCTCCCAAGTCGAGCAAGTCTCACTCCCTCGTACCAGTATGACTTTCCTTGCAGACGACCCTCGTCCTCTTCCAGACCACATCCTATTCCTACTCCAGTACTGCCAGAGCTACCGATTATCAGTCAAGCCTTAGCTAAGGAAGAATTGTCTCTGTCAATAAAGGGTACTTTCTTTCCATTTAGGGCAAAACAGACATTGCCACTAGTACCTGAAAACGGGGTTCTTCTATTACTCCAGAGTTGGCAATTTTGGAAGTTAACTAAGTTGTTTTATTAATTATGATTTTCAGATACTTGGTCTTTTGGGCTGGGGACTCCTGCTTCAGCTGGTTAAGTGCCAGAATCAGGGTCCATCTCCTGGTAATAACCCTTCACGATGAAGTTGGTCATCTTGACTTCCCAGAGCTTTGCTTACTAATGGATTCAATTAAAGCCGTGGAGAGACTCTGCCAGTCCCCGACTCCAAGCCTTCCCTGAAGGCTTGAGGTGGTGAGGACAGCTAGAAGGATACAAAGCAAGTCACGATTTGTTACCCTCACCCCTTGCCCTGCCCCCATTGGCTCTGCCTCTACTCACCAGTGGTTCTAACTCTTTGGTGTCTATCAGGTTAAACTCTTTCACAAAATAGAAGAAGTGCTTATAGCAGGTGTTCACATGAGCCTCAGAGCCCATCTGAGTGATTCGGTCAAAGTGGTGGATGTAAACATGAACAAAAACTCTGAAAAGCCTGGACAGGATCTTCTTTACCACCTGCAGAAAGTTCTTGGGGAATGGAGTACCTAAAAGAGAAGGACCAAGAATGAGAAGGACTACATTTTTTCAAAAATCATTTATCTTGTGCTCTAGATGACTAAAGTGACAGTGAAAGCCTGCTAATCTCTTCTAAACTAACAACACACATCCACTAGTCAACTGACAGGATAAATATATTTCAATATTCTAGTTTTATTCTAGTTCAAAAAATTTAATAATTATATAAAGGTTTAATTTTTAATCAAAGTAGTCCTGTAGGTTTTATGTTGTTTTAAACTTTTGGTTTTGCTTTAGGAAAAACTTGGGGAGTTAATTACGGGACTAGATTAATTACTGTAGTTCATGTGGTGGAGTGGAAGGTATGATGGACTTGAGAGTCAAGAGAACAGGTTCAAATAACAGCTGTAACTGTAACTCATTAGCTATGTGACAGTAAGCAGGTCATCATCCTCTCTAAGGCTCAGTTTCCTCATCTATAAAATGGAGATAATCATAGCCCTGCTGTACTCATTGAGTTGTGACGAAGGCACTTTCTAGAACTTTAAGAGTTGTACAAAAATGTCAGCTGTTGTTATTTTAAAAACTATTTTAGTTGCCACCTCTGATTGCGATTCTGTAACTCTGCACCACTGCCCTCACCTAAGGTCATGGGTAAAAATAACATAAGACCTCAGGTCAAGATGGCTGCCTGAATGGGAGGCAGACCATCCAGCTCCCATGTACTTAATCCAGCAAAACTGTGAACCAAATAATGATCAAGAAACCCGGTAAGAAACCGGTGCGAATCATGACTTCCATCACAGAACTTCATTAGATATCAGCCAAAAGCCTGAGGGCTTTAGAAAAGCTCCACCTATCTACTCCTAGGAACATTAGTGCCAAAACCCAGAGCTTTCAAGTCAAAGAAAAGAAAGAATCTAAGCAGTCAGAAAGAAAGAATTTAAGGACTGAGGAGCCACAGTCAGAATCACACATGATTTAGCAGCCACTACTATAAAGGAGTGGAGACTATGAAATACAATGTTCCAGAAGACAAAAGATATAATAGGCTTATAGCCAAAGACAATTTACCCAGCAAAACCAAGTATAATCCTACAGGGGGAGAAATGGATCTTTAATAAAACTGAAGCCTTCCAAACATTCCTGATGAAAAGACCAGAGCTGCATATAAACTTTGAAGTGCAAACATTTCAAGAAGTCACACAAAAAAGTAAACATGAATGAATACTCATAAGAGCCTAAACAGGATAAAATGTTTACAATACAATACGGGCAGCTGATACGTGTGTTCCCGACGAATTCTATCATCATCAGGGGTCCCAGAGAGAGTCTAATTAGACAAAAGGTTTATAGTAGTTCTATCTCGATGTTCTTAAAAGAAGAATGGAAAAGGAGGGGAATCTGACATTTGAGATTCTTATCTGAACTGAACAAAGGAGAGAATACACATGGACACACACACACAGATGGATACAGAAATATATTACCTACAACACGGAAACAGGAAGGAAAAGGAGAGAAGAGGGATGTAGAGGGTAGGTAGATTAAGGGAAGCATTAGTACTAAGCAAAACAAACTACTAAGGATGTAAAAATATTTACAGCTCTTTTTGAAGTGGTAAAGAAGAGGAATCTGATGGGGTGCTCATCAACTGGGGAATGCTTGAACAAGTTATGATATATAAATGTGATGGAACACTATTGTGTTATAAGAAATGATGAGAGGATGGTTTCAGAGAAACCTAGGAAGACTTGTATGAACTGATGCAGAGTGATGTAAGCAGAACTAGAATGATTTATACGACAACAATATTGTAAAGACAAAACAACTCTGAAAGACTTAAGGACTCTGATTATTATAATGACCAACTATAATTCCAGAAGGCTCAATGAAACATGCTACTCTAGAAAGAGAAGTAAAAGATTCAAGACTACATAATGTGACTTTTTTTTTTGGAGATGGCCAATGAGGACATTTGTTTTGCTTGACTAGAAACGTTTTTAACAGGAATTTTGCTTTTTTTTTCCTTCTCAATTGGGAGAGGGGACGGAAACGTAATGAGGCACTTTTTACTGATTAAAAATTAATAAAAAAATAAAAACAACAAAAAAGGCAAGCAGTATGAAATGGAGATTCACAGGTGGCACAGAGAACCTCTTTTTGCACTTTGCTGTGTGTATGAAAAATGTTCTTTTTTGGTTTAATTTCAAAATAAAAAAACAAACAAACTTAAAAACCTAATACAATGATCTTTAGAAGACTGTCTAAATATTTTTGACCAAGTTGCCACCTGGGCCTCCACAATAATTTTGTTAAACAAGTATTTTGAACGAATTGGCAATAAATGTAATGGAATTTAGCCTGTTTACACATATAGTAGCATAGCCTCTTGAAAGATTGCTATATATACGCAGCACTCAGCTTTTTACTGTCTTCCAGTTAAGTTCAATACCTCAATAATACCAACGAGAGTAACAAGCTTAGAAAGATGGCAGTGCATTTAGAGACAAAGAGCTGTGGAAGAGGCATCAGAAACAAGATCTAGCACTGGTTCTGCCACTAACAAATGATCATGAGCAAGTACTGCCCTCTCTAGGCCTCCTCAGTTTCCTCCTCTGTAAAATAAGGATGTTAGTCTAAGTAACCTATAAATGTCCTTCCTATTTCAACATTTGTTTTATGAGAGACTTATTGCTTCTCAAAGTACTTTCATGTACATTATTTCTTTCAATCTTCAGTTTATATAGCATCTGTCAATCTACAAGAGCATTTTCACATAAGATATCTCATTTAATCCTCACAACAATTCTAGGAAGCAGGCAAGACAGGATCATAGATGTAGAGCTGAAAAGGCTCTTGGATATCATCTAGGCGGGGTGCTGCCATTTTGTAAAATGGAAGCACAGACAGTTTAGGTGACTTGCAAAGGTCACAGAGGGAATGAGTAGCATAGCCAGGGTTGGACTCAGGTCTTCTAACTCTACCACACCCAACTGCATCTTTTTATTGATTTCAATTTAAAGGCATCAACTTCATTTCCAACTGAAGAAACTGAGGTACTGAGCAGTGAAGCATCTTGCCCAAGATCACACAACCAGGTGGTGGTGATGCTTGGTGGAGTTGCCAGTTCTATTTACAGCACTAGCATTGCACTGAGATTAGAGAAAAGTCCAGAGAAGTTACTGAAAGGTTAATAAAGAATATTTGAGGAAAAGTGATTAAGAACAGGCATCATTTAACTTGAAGAAGCTGAGGGGCAATCTGAATGAGTCACATGAGGGACAGTGACCAACGTAAATGCTCTCCATAGCTACCCAGAATAGAGTAAGAAGAAACATGTTTAAATAACATTATGAAGGGTTTAGATTAGAGAGGAAGAAGAATTTCTTGGCTGGGAGAGTTGTTGAATATTGCAATAGGCTACCAGAGGGGCTGTGGAAAATCTTCCTCTGGAGATCCTTTATTTAGATACAGATTTTCATCAGTTAGGATCTATTTAAATATAGACCTGTCTGAAATAAATTAGATAATTTATAAAGCTCTTTTCCAGTCCTTTAATTCTCTGGTAAAGGAAACTTTGGGGAGATTAAAAAATTTTTTTTAAAAATCTGAATGACAAAGTATATCGTCTATTATATAATTCGATACAATGAGCATTTAATCTATGCCCAAGGCACTGAGAATACAAAGAAATAAACAAAACTATCCTTGATCTCAAGCTTACATGCTATTTGGAAGAAACAAAGTGTTCATCAATAAGCAAAGAGAATAAATATACACACATAATACACAAGCAAATTTTTGGGAGGAAGGGGGCAATACTAGCAACTAGAGGAGATAGGAAAGTGTTCTCATAGGAGGTGAAAGTTAAACTGAACCTTGAGGGGAGTAACCAGAGTTTCTACAAGGAAGAAATGAAAAGGGAATGAATTCAAGGTATGAAGGCAGTTGGTGCAAAAGAATGGAGGAAGAAAAGATGTTATGTATATGGAATGGCAATTTGGCTGGAAGGCAGTCAGTAAGAAAGAGCAATGTGAAATCAATCTAGAAGGACGTGGGAGCCAGACTGTGAAGGGCTTTAAAGGCCAAAGAAAGGAGTTTGTATTTTATCCTGGAGGCAAAAAGAGCCCACCAAAAGCTTCTTCAACAGGAGAGTGACATAGTCTAAAAACTTTAGCAACTAGTTGAACCCCATTTATCAGAATTAGTTCTAACACAGTTCTCATTCTTACTTTCTCCAGCTTTAGAAGAACGAGATTACCCTTAAAGCAAGCCACACACTTTTCAGCTATTCTTCTGGCAGATATGCAGGTAGCTCAATTCCTCCATCATGACAATACTATGTCTCTGTGCCAAATGTATGCCAAATTGCCTTGAGGCAGAATCACAAAATCTCACAGCTAGAAGGGACACCAAAATCTAGTCCAACCACCCCCTTTATCATATACCTTCAAAGTGGGCAGAATGGGGAAACCCTACCACCTCTTAAGGCTGACCCCACTTCTGGAGAGCTCTCATTATTACCAAGTCTTTCCCTACATCAAATCTAAATGTGTTGTTGAATCAGGATCTTTGGCATTCTTGTCTGCAGTGATTCTAGAGAGCTTGACATGACCACAGAAGACAAGGTGGGCTAAATAATGAACCCTTGAAGGAGTCTTGAGAAATTTTCTTTTATTTTGGGAAACATTGCTTTTATTCAACTTATTGCAACCACATCCAGTTAATATGTTACTGTCACCCTCACTTGTCTCATCTTCCCAATTCAGTCTAAGAAACTTTCATAAAATGCTCTATTTGCCCAGGCCAGAGAAGAACTTGGAGCTTGGCGCTTGGCACTGGCACCTGTTAATGTGTGTCTAAAATGCAGTGTCCAAAAGGAAACATAATATTCCATACATGGTCTGACCAGGCAAAGTACAGTGGGACTTTCACTTTCCTTTCTCCGGCATGTCATCTCATCCAACCTATACCTGAACAACCTAACAAGTGGACACCTAGACTCTTCCTGAAGACCTGCCTTGAG